CCCCCCCCTAGGGTTGCCATTTTTTCTTAAAACGAAACCCGAACACTCTAGGGACGCACGGACATTTTTGGGGGGGATTAAGTCGTGCCTTGTTCATATGTAAATAGCTCCGCCCATTACTATGTAGATATCACAGTTCAGACTATTTTCAGTGGGGGGCAGTAGCCGCTATCTTAATTTTGGTTGCCCCGATCTGCCTGACATCCTGTGTCTGGGTTTCTGCTGCCATGAAACCCGAACACAGCATTCAAAACTCGAACTGTCCGGGTGAATCCTGGACAGGTGGCAACCCTTCCCCCCCCCCTGCTGTTCAGCTGCCCCTGGGAACTCATTGTGGGGATCTGTGGGTGAAGTGTGCTTGCATGGCAAAGCCCGTGCTGCCGATCAGTGGGGACTTCACTGGTTAGGTGCTGTTGTGGGCTTCTGAGCGGGACGTACCTGCCTAACAGTAGCTGGGAAGTTTCTGCTTCCTGTCTGAGCAGGTAAAGGAAAACCTCTTTAACCTCCTCAATACTAACATGTTGCACCCCCTTCCTTTCCAGGCAGTTTTCACTGCTGCAATAGTTTGACAATTAGGCCTCAGTCACACCAGATGCAGTGCGTTCTGGCCGGAACGCATTGCGGCCGGCTCACTGTGTTGTGGGGCAGGAGGGGGCACAGTCTGGTCCGAACAAAATGCTGCAAGCACTATTTTGTTCGAACTGGACCGGACCACAGGCATAATGTGCCTCGCGTTCCTGTGCGGCCGATCGCCCCACAACATAGTGAGCCGGCCGGAATGCGATGCAGTGCGTTCTGGCCAGAATCGGGTTGGAACGCACTGCATCTTGGTGTAAATGAGGCCTTACTCTGGCATGCAATGCCGTACCCACATGCGTTTTACATTAGTTTTTTGGGGACAGAAAGTGGTATTTAAGAACCACTCTTTTTTAATATATATAAAGAGAAAAGACCAACATTTTGGGACGGATTGAATTGACCTTTTATTCTAAAATATGTTTATTATATATTTTCTGGTACTTGATTAGAATTGTCTCCTGGCATAAAACTTTAGGTTGGTATTATATTAAACAGAAGTGTTCAGGGAAAAAGTGATCATGGCTATGTTGAAGCATCATGATTAGTGGCAATAAAATCCCCCCCTACCCCAATCATTGGTGGTCCGTGGCAAACTCACTCCCCCTTCATTGGTGGCTGTTGGTATTTAAACACATATGACCAATGGCGTCCCACTGGGTGACCGCATCAGAGGGGGGCGACACCAAAATGACTGATTTGTCATTTTGGTGTCACCCCCCTCTTAAAAGTTGGGCACTTGGTCATGGACCCGACGGCTGCATGAGAGAGGAGGGAACCCAGCGGCTCCTCCCCTCTTTTCCGGCATCCATCACCAAGATGTCCGCTGGCAGTGAAGTGCACATGTATGCCAAGTGCATACGTAATGACGCGCACACGGGTGACACCCGGCCTGCTGATGTCTTTGCGTGTGAGTAAGCTTTCCTCCAAAAGGTAGGGAACCGACGTGTGCATAGTTTTTATTTATTTTGTTTGTTTTGCCCCTTTTATAAAATTTGAAGCCCGGCTGTACACATTGCACACATTAGTTCAGGGGTGGGTAAACTCTGGTCCAGCTGTGGCGAAGCTACAATCCCATCATGCATCTGTCTCTGAGAGTCGTGGCTGTGAGAATCTTGCAATGTCTCATGGGAGTTGTAGTTCTGGGGGGGGGGCTGAAGTTTCCCCCGCCCCTCCATTAGTGGATAACACTCTCTGTATGTACAGAACATATATGTAAACAGATGTGATCGGCCCTTTTAGGCTTCATGTGGTGATCGCCGGGCTTCAGATAAGTTCCGGGAGTGAGCTTTGGGTATTTGGGGGGACACGAGGCTTCAGATGCTAATGACATGCGTTTTATTTTACAGATTGATGCAAAGGAGGAGCAGCTGAAGGAAGCAAAGAAAGAGCTGAAGAGAGCTAAAGCTGACCATAAGCAATGTCAAAACGACAAGACAAGGAAGTACGAGCTGCTTATGTCACCTCCTCATAACGCAGAACACCGCACACAGGGCCAGTGCACCCTTCACCCTACAGATCAGAGGAAGGGTGCACCATGGCATGCGACTAACAGGATGGTGAAAGTGAGAGAACGCATGCTCCTGGTTTGCTCTGTGGGGGATATTCCCCCGTCTCTTTTCAAGGGATCGTCTATTAAAGCGGACCTTTCCCCAGGGGCGTCCGGAGGCCGGGTGTCACCCGGAGCGGATACCCGGTGACACCCCGCCGTGATGTCATCTTTGTGATGCCTGCTGGCAGCCATCTTGGTGATGGACGCCGGCAGAGAGAGGAGGGGGCGTTCACCCGGTGGGATAAGGTATGCCGCCGGGTCCCCTCCTCTCTCCTGCAACTGTCAGGCTCAGTCCATGAGAGAGTGCCCCGACTTTTCAGAGCTAGTGACACCAAAATGACTGTCAGTCATTATGGTGTCACCCGGGTGTAGGCCGCACCCCCCTTGTGACGCCACTGCCTTTATCCCCTTTGACTAAAAATCACCTCAGCATACAGCCCTGCACGCCGATATGGAATCATCTCACATTCAATAGTTAAAAGATATTTTTCTTTTACTTACAATTACTGTTTTTTCAACTTCCTGGTCCTCTTTGGCATTGGTGATGTAGTCTGTGCCCAAGCATTGCATCCTGGGAAGGTGACATCAGCAGAACATTGCTGGGAAATCTCATCTGTAATCTCACAAGATCTCGGGGAAAGGCATTTTCCTCCCCTGAGATGATGGGCATGGTCACATGTGCCAGAGTTCCAGGAAGTAAAGGGAGATGCATTAATCTGCCCTTAGTAGAAATGGCCGCTGTGAGAAGAATGGGGAGGAAAAGAATACAAAGGAAGATGGGGCTGGAGTCCATCCTTCACACACCACCCAGGGGAAAGGCCAGTATGAACTGTCGGCTCTTCTGGGTCACTCGTGGATCGGCTCACCTATATCCCTGGAAGATGCCAGTGGGGGGATCTCCATGCTGTACTTCCCTACATAAAGGATAAGCGGTTTTCTTTACAGTAAAGTGATTATCCAGTTAACCTTATCTGGTTATTACTATCAGGGGCTCCATTAGAGGGGTTTTGCCTTACTTCCTGTCCTGGTGACCAGACAGGAAGTGATTGAACAACTTCAACAGGGAAACAGAAATAATTCTGACCGAGGTTCCAGTCTTCCCTCCTCACACATTGCTTCCCCTGTACACACGCAAATGACTCTGAGACCTGATTTGGGTTCTGTGGGCCCTATGCAGGGCCACCACCTGCTCTTCTGTACACAGGTAAGTTCTACCTGGCGGTTGTTCAGGCCTCAGCTGGTGCCAGCGATTTCCAGGCCGCACTCCGAGCTCCGCGTTCCTTTTGTTGTTCATTCTTTGTGGTCCTGTTGGGGAGGTTTGCTCCATTGCCCGGCCCTGAGATGGACTGCTGGAGAACGTCTCGGGGTCTAAGACTTCAAGAGCCTGCGTCCTGTGCTCTGCCATTCACAAAGTAGGACTTTTGCTGTGTAAAATCTTTATTTTGTGGATGGACACGGAGGGGCCCCTCCCCTGATATCCCCTATTGCTTGCTGGGAGAGTCGGGGATTTTAGGGGGGCTGCATGTAGTAGAGCCGAGGGCAGCAGTAAGAACCCCCATGGAGGTTCAGAAACGACATTTCATTCTTAATGTGGACACGTTGCTGTGATTTTGGTCCAGATGTAGCCGCAGTCCGTAATCTTGTCTTGGGGGTTTAGGGGGAGGAGAGCAGTCCTTGTCTTATGGAGGAGAGCACTCCTTGTCTTATGGGGGAGAGCAGTCCTTGTCTTATGGAGGAGAGCAGTCCTTGTCTTATGTTTGGGTGAGTATAACTTTATTTTTGCCCGTAGACCAAAACAAGCACTTAACCCTTGCAGTGCTGGGGTAGCTACACTGCACGGGTGAAGAACATTTCTTTCCCAGAGTTCTTTAAATACCCGGACCCCCGGGAGTGTTCTCCATCACCCCGATGACCGGGATTCATCCGGCCCCGATCTAGACCCGGCACAGTCTCCGGTGACCTCCGTTTTATCTTTCATGTCCAGGTGTAAGAAATACGGGGTGCCCATCGAGAAGATCTACAACAAGACTCAGAGAGACAAGTTTGCTTGGGCTATAGCCATGACCAACGAGGACTTTGAGTTCTAGAAGCCATGTTGTGCCAGAAGCCGTCATCTACCTCTCAATGTGCCCCCCCCCATACCTCGGCCTCTTGGGGGTGTCCTCTATAAATGGCCGTTCAGGATGTAATAATACAAGCAGACGTCCTTCATACACCTCATCTGTCACCATGGATGGATTGCACACGGGGAGACCGTCTTCTGATCAGGAACACTCACTGCCTATGTCCACCGTGGCCCCATCTCAGCTTGGTTACAACATGGCTGCCGGCCAGTCATGTGATCAGTCCCTTATAGAAGAGTCGTCGTCCGCGCGGAAAGCAGGGAGCTGCCATTGACCTGATCGGGATCCAATGACTGATCGATACCAGCGGGTGCGAATACTCCTCCCGGTCACCAATGTCTGTGACCGAGTTATGACACTTTCTTTTTTTCTTTTTCGGTTTCCCCGATTTATTGAATTGCACTGATACCAAAAAAAATAAAAGCTCGGAGCAGTTTATTTACCGAGATTTGTTTACCAATGACGAGTATTTTGTTGTTGTCGCAGAACGGACGCCGACGCTTTCATTATGTGTTATTTATGTTTATTTCATACCGTAAAAATAATAAATTTGAATAAAGATTTGTTTGTATCTTCTGCCGGAAAAAAACATCGACTCTTATTTCATTTGTTGGATGACCCGAAAATATACATTGTGAAGGCGACAACGTGTCACATGACTTTGCTTTTGCCTTAAAGGGACAGTATAGTCTTGCATTGTTTTAACTACCTCCCGGCCGGCCGTTGTAAAAAAAAAAACCATCGGCAGGGAGCTCTCTGGATCTGAGCGGGCGTCTTTAGACGTCTGCTCAGCCACGCCCACTTGCGCGTGCCGCGCACGGGAAATGCCGACAATTTAAAAACAGACGGCGTGTTAACATAAAAGCTCTAGCGATCCGCCGGCTATAGAGCAGGCGGATCGCTTGTATGAGCTGCCGGCCCGTGTCCCCCCCTCCCGTTGTCACGCTGATCCCGGGACCAGCATAGTGCCTGTGTCACAGGGGATAAGAGGGAGCTCGGTACACGATCTCCCTCCGGTCCCCTCTCCGGTGTCAGTATGCGGAACTGATGTATGTTACATCACTTCCGCATTCTTGTGTCACTCTCCAGCTGATGAAGCAGATCTCGGCTTAATCAGCTTCTTCAGGGGGGTCCTAGGTGACAGGGGTCTTGGAGACCCCTGATGTCTCCATAAAGAGGACCTGTCACATCTTTTGCTATCACATGAGTGGGAGGGGGGGTTCTTAGCCCCCTATGTGATAGCAATAAAGTTAAGTGGGGAAAAAAATAGTTTCCCCCCAAAAAAAATTGAGTTACACACAATAAAAGAATAAATAAAACTTTTTTTTAAAAGTCCCCACCCATACATACACGCGTGCAAACATGCGTCGGGTGCGCATACCTGCGAAAAACGACGATTTAATTCTCAGGCCATCAATCACTGAGAACACTGCTGAGGTCTTGGCATTCAGAAAATATATAATGTTGGGGGGTTTTAAGTCATTTTCAGGCCTAAAATGTGGAATATAACATGGGTGCAAAAAATGAAAAAAGGGCCTCAGTCATGAAGGGGTTAAAGCATCGGCTATGGCCAATTTCGGGTATGGTAGTTTTTTCCGATTTTAGCGGGTGCGCGCAATTTTTAAGCTTGACATGTTTGGTGTCTATTTACCCGACGTGACCCCGACTTTTATATTTTACCAAAAAATTGGGTCATAATAAATGTTTTATAACGTAACGTAAAAAATGTTCATTAATTTTCCAGAAATATAGTAAAAAATATACCCCCAGTGGTGATTAAATTCCTCCAAAATAAAGCTCTATCTGTCTCCAAAAAATGGTATAAAATTCATGTCAGTACAGCGCTGCATGACGGAATAAACGGCAAAGTACCGCAGCGCTGAATACTGAAAAATGGGCGGGACGGGAAGAAGGGATAACTGCGGTTAAAGGGGGACACACACCATCTCCATGCAGGTCAAAGGTCAGGAGGACCGCCGACCCCGTAATCATCACTCGCTCTTTCAGTCGATGCTAAAATTACTGATGGCGCCTAAAACTCCCAACACCGTTTCTCTGACGTATTGAATGGACCCCGGGAGACCTTTTGGTACTTGTTGTCAGGACCGGAAAGGATGATTTTAAGGACTTTTATTTCTCATCCATTGAGGGACACAGCAGTTCAGGTGATCATACATCGTATGATTATGCTCTTGTTAGTGCTTGCTACAAAAAGCAAGGCATTTTGGTAACAGGAGGTGTTATCTTGGGCTTGCCTACAGTTTATTTTACTTGAAGGTGAAAGACTTCTGTTGTCACTCACTGGACTCCAAGAAAAGGATTACAAAATATTATTATAATGGCCGCCATCTCCGTGTCTGATCCCAAATCTCTAACCGGCTCCTTCAGCGTGCTCTCTTATCACTCTATTATATCCCTAATATCTATCCTGTATCATATCTGCACTCTGACCATGTCTGCAGTCTCTGACCATGCTACGCATGTCTGCAGTCTCTGACCATGCCACCCATATCTGCACTCTGACCATGTCTGCAGTCTCTGACCATGCCACTCATGTCTGCACTCTGACCATGCCACTCATGTCTGCACTCTGACCATGTCTGCAGTCTCTGACCGTGCCACCCATGTCTGCACTCTGACCATGCCACCCATGTCTGCAGTCTCTGACCATGCCACGCATGTCTGCACTCTGGTGGATTACCCAAAATCCAAACGGTGGGTGGCCCTGTTGGCATCACCCGGCTCAACAAACTTGGGGTGGAAAAGCCCTGACCCCATAGTTCTCCTTTAAGCTTTATTTGCACCTGCGATCCTGTCAGTAACACTTCCTGTCCTAGATTGACAACGTTCACTCACCAAAGTGTATCTATGGAGGAGCGACATTGTCACCCCAGAACGGAACACTCCCCTTCCTCCATAACAGAACCAGAATGTTCCATGGTACGCTTAACAGACCAAAAGAAAACACGTCCGGATCTCTCCTATCCGGATATACTCGCTCTCTGAAGTCATGTGCCGTGTTTCTGGGAAGCATTTACATTCCTACGCGGGTGTGGCGGGGGGGGACAATTTCCAGTCATTGTTATGTGACGTCGGAGATAATCGCAGTGCTGGATACTCAATCTATGTGGAATCTGAAGCTGGTCACACAAGGCGAGATTTTCTTTCATTCTTCCCCCGCCGATCAAACAAGACAACTCGCCCGATTCCCTCATTGATAAGCAGCTCGGATGGAAGAATCTCCCTCGCCAGGTTTTGTACTTAAGAAACCAACACTCTCAGCTGTCTGAATACCCAAACAGTGCCGATCGGCCAATAATTTTCCACCCCAAGTTTGTTGAGCCGGGTGATGCCAACAGGGCCACCCACCGTTTGGATTTTGGGTAATCCACCAGAGTGCAGACATGCGTGGCATGGTCAGAGACTGCAGACATGGGTGGCATGGTCAGAGTGCAGACATGGGTGGCATGGTCAGAGTGCAGACGGGTGGCATGGTCAGAGTGCAGACATGGGTGGCATGGTCAGAGTGCAGACATGGGTGACATGGTCAGAGTGCAGACATGGGTGACATGGTCAGAGACTGCAGACATGGTCAGAGTTTGCAGACATGGGTGCCATGGTCAGAGTTTGCAGACATGGGTGGCATGGTCAGAGTGCAGACATGGTCAGAGTTTGCAGACATGGGTGGCATGGTCAGAGTTTGCAGACATGCGTGGCATGGTCAGAGATTGCAGACATGCGTGGAATGGCAAAAGACGGCAGACCGGGCAGGAGTGAAATGGTCAGAGATTGCAGACATGCGTGGCATGGTCAAAGACTGCAGACACGGTCAGAGTGCAGACATGGGTGGCATGGTCAGAGTGCAGACATGGGTGGCATGGTCAGAGTGCAGACATGGTCAGAGACTGCAGACATGGTCAGAGTTTGCAGACATGGGTGCCATGGTCAGAGTTTGCAGACATGCGTGGCATGGTCAAAGACTGCAGACACGGTCAGAGTGCAGACATGGGTGGCATGGTCAGAGACTGCAGACATGGTCCGAATTCGGCCCGGAACGCACTGCCCGCATTGGGGAAACTATGGGGGAAATTTTCTTAATTTGTTTTTATCCATTTAAAATGTTAACACAGCGCACACGCAGGATTTGGACGAAAATTCGTTCCAAAACCGAAATTTCGGATATGTTATATTTCGGAAATTCGGACGTATCTGAATTCCGAATTACAGATATAACGAATGCAAACGAATCCGAATTTTTCGATTCGTTTTTTTGGATGAAATTTCGTTGCAGCAAAGTGACATATGAGAACAAAAAAACTTTTTTTCCCCCTCTTACATGTCACTTTGCTGCAACGAAGGAAACGAGAACGAAACTAAATTTCGTGCGGATTACCGCTAACGAATTTCGTCCGAATCCGAGCCGACCTGTGACAGTCTCATTGTCACACGTCGGCTAGAACTATGAGCGGGGTGAAAAGCACCCCA